TATTTCTAGCTTTTTAAGGAAGTGCCAAATCGTTTTCCAAAGTGGTTGTGCCATTTTACGTTCTCATCAAATGTATAAATGTGCCAGTCTCTCCACAACTTCTCTAACATTTTATCATTTTGTGTTTTTTAGATTAGTGCTTGCCTCATTGAGGTGAGATGGTATCTCATTGTAGTTTTGATTTGCATTTCTCTAATGGCTGATGATCGTGAGCATTTCCTCATATATCTGTTAGCCACCTGAATGTCTTCTTTGGCGAAGTGCCTGTTATATCCTTTGCCCGTTCTTTAATTGGGTTATTTGTCTTTTTGTTGTTGAGGTTTTGCAGTGTCTTGTAGATTTGAGAGATTAGATGTTTCCCAGTCTGTAGGTCTTTTTACTGTTCTGGTGAAGTCTTTTGATGGCATAAGTGTTTGATTTTTAGGAGCTCCCAGTTATCTAGTTTCTCTTTTGGTGTTTGTGCATTGTTACTTATGGTTCATACTCTGTTTATACCATGTATTAGGGCTCCTAGCATCATCCCTGTTTTTTTTTTCTATGATCTTTATCGTTTTAGATTTTATATTTAGGTCTTTGATCCATTTTGAGTTAGTTTTTGCTCATGGTGTGAGGTATGGGTCTTGTTTCAGTTTTTTGCAGATGGATATCCAGTTATGCCAACACTATTTCTTAAAGAGACTGTCTTTTCCCCAATTAACAGACTTTGGGCCTTTGTCAAATATCAGCTACTCATAGGTGGATGAATTTATGTCTGAATTCTCAATTCTGTTCCATTGGTCTCTGTATCTGTTGTTGTACCAGTACCAGGCTGTTTTGACTATAGTGGCAGTATAATAGGTTCTAAAATCAGGTAGTGTGAGGCGTCCTGCTTTGTTTTTCTTTAGTAATGTTTTATTTATCCAGGGCCTTTTCCATGTCCAAAAGTTGGTGATTTATTTCTCCATCTCATTAAAAAATGCCATTGGAATTTGGATCGGGATTGCATTGTATCTGTAGATTGCTTTGGGTAGAATTGACATTTTCACAATGTTGAGTCTTCCTATCCATGAGCAAGGTATGTTTGTCCACCGATTCAGGTCTCTTTTGGTTTCTTGCAGTAGTGTCTTGTAGTTTTCTTTGTATAGGTTATTTGCTTCTTTGGTTAGATTTATTCCTAAATATTTTATCTTCTTGGGGTCTGTTGTAAGTGGTATTGATTTGATGATTTTCTCTTTGAAGTTCTCTTTGTTGGTGTAGAGGAATCCAACTGATTTTTTTATGTTTATCTTGTATCCTCATACTTTGCTAAAATCTTTTATTATTTCCAGTAGTTTTCTTCTGGATTCTTTGGGGTTTTCTGTGTATAAGATCATACTGTCTGCAAATAGAGATACTTCTTCCCTACCAATTTGGATGCCCTTTATTTCTTTTTCTAGCCTAACTGCTCTGGCTAGGACCTCCAACACAATGTTGAATAAGAGTGATGATAAAGGGCATCCTTGTCTGGCTCCCGTTCTCAAGGGGAATGCTTTCAGACTCTCTCCATTTAGGATGATGTTGGCTGTTGGCTTTGTATAAATGCCCTTAATTATATTGAGGAATTTCCCTTCTATTCCTATTTTGCTGAGAGTTTTTATCATGAATGGGTGTTAGACTTTGTCAAATGCCTTTTCTGCATCAATTGATAAGATCATGTGGTTCTTGTCTTTTATTTATGTGACGGATTACATTAGTTGTTTTTCTAATGTTGAACCATCCCTGCATACCTGGTATAAATCCCACTTGGTCATGATTAATTATTTTTTTGATATGTTGTTGAATTCTGTTGGCTAGAATTTTGTTGAGGATTTTTGCATCTATGTTCATGAGGGATATTGATCTGTAATTTCCTTTTTATTGTGGTGTCCTTACCTGGTTTTGGTATCAAGGTTATGCTGGCTTCGTAGAATGGGTTTGGGAGTATTCCATCTTTTTCTGTACTCTGAAATACCTTTAGTAGTAGTGGTGTTAACTGTTCTCTGAAAGTTTGGTAGAATTCTCTAGTGAAAGCGTCCGGGCCAGGGCTTTTTTTTGTAGGGAGTTTTTTAATTACCTTTTCAATCTCTGCTTTTGTTATAGGTTTATTTAGTTGTTCTACGTGTGTTTGTGTTAGTTTAGGTAGGTATTGTGTTTCTAGACATTTGTCCATTTCCTCTAGATTTTCAAATTTGTTAGAGTACAATTTTCCATAGTATTCTGTTTCGCTACTTTTAATTTCAATTGGGTCTGTTGTGATCTCGCCCATCTCGTTTCTTACTTGGGTTATTTGCTTCTTTTCCTGTCTGTCTTTTGTCAGTTTGGCCAATGGTTTATCAATTTTGTTGATATTTTCGAAGAATCAGCTTTTGGTCTTGTTAATTGTCAGTCTCTTTCAATTGTCTTTCTATTCTCTATTTCATTTAATTCTGCTCTAGTATTTATTATTTGCTCTCTTCTGGTGCCTCAGGGCTTCTTTTGCTGCTCTCTGTTTGTTCGAGTTATAGGGTTAATGTTTTGATTTTGGCCCTTTCTTCTTTTGGATATGTGCATTTATTGGTATAAATTGACTTGTTGAGCACTGCTTGTGCTGTGTCCCAAAGGTTCTGGTAAGGTGTGTTTTCGTTCTCATTTGATTCTATGAATTTGTTTATTCTGTCCTTAATTTCTTACGTAACCCAGTAGTTTTTGAGCAAGGTGTTGTTCAGTTTCCATGTGTTCGATTTTTTTTTCCTTGTTTTTTCTGTTATTGATTTATACTTTATGGCTTTATGGTCAGAAAAGATGCTTTGTAATGTTTCAGTGCTTTGGATTTTGTTAAGGCTTGCTTTATGGCCTAATGTGTGGTCTATTCTGGAGAATGTTCCATGTGCATTGGAAAAGAAAGTATACTTGGTTGCTGTTGTGTGGGGTTTTCGGTATGTGTCTATAAGATCAAGTTGGTTGATTGTGGCATTTAGATCTTCTGTGTCTTTTTTGAGCTTCTTTCTGGATGTTATGTCTTTCACCGAAAGTAGTGTGTTGAAGTCTCCAGCTATTACTGTTGAGCTGTCTATCTCTTCAGTGCTGTTAGAGTTTGTTTTATGTGTTTTGAAGCCCTGTTGTTGGGTGCATAAATATTTATTATGGTTATGTCCTTCTGGTGTATTGACCCTTTAAGCATTATATAGTGTCCTTCCTTATCCTTTGTGGTGGATTTTAGTTTAAAGTCTATTTTGTCAGAGACTAATATTGCCACTTCTGCTCTTTTTTGAGTGTTGTTTGCTTGATATATTTTTTTCCATCCTTTGAATTTGGTTTTTGCAAATTCTCTAAACTTCTGTTTCTCTGGAAATGCCCTAATTTCACCATCATATATGAGAGACAGTTTTGCTGGATATGTAATTCTTGGCTGGCAGTTGTTTCCTTCAAGGCTTTATATATGTCATCCCCTTGCCTTCTTGCCTACGTGGTTTCTTCTGAGTAGTCCAAACTTAGTCTTATTGACTCTCCTTTATAGATGACTTTTCGTTTATCCCTAGCCACTCTTAAAATTCTCTCTTTATCTTTGGTTTTGGCCAGTTTGATTATAATATGTCTTGGTAACTTTCTTTTGGGATCTGCCCTATGTGTGGTTTGATGAGCATCTTGGGTAGATATCTTCTCATCTTTCATGATATCAGGGAGGTTTTCTGCCAACAAATCTTCAACAATTCTCTCTGTATTTTCTGTTATCCTCCCCTGTTCTGGTACTCCCATCACTCGTAGGTTATTCCTCTTGAGAGTCCCACGTAAATCTTAGGGTTTCTTCATTTTTTTTTTAATTCTTTTATCTGATTTTTCCTCAAATAAGTTTGTGTCAAGTGCTTTATCTTCAATCTCACTAATTCTGACTTCCATTGCCTCAATTCTGCTGCTATCACTTTCTACTGAGTTGTCTAATTCTGAAGTTTTATTGTTAATCTTCTGGATTTCTGTTTGCTGTCTCTCTGTGGATTCTTGCAGCCTGTTAAATTTGTCATTATGCTCTTCTCTAATCTTCTTAAGTTCCTCTGTTGCTTTGTCTGTGTGTTCTTTGGCTCGTTCTGCATTTTGAATGATCTCCTTCCTGATCTCTTGAAGAGTTCTGTATATTAATTCTTTCTATTTTACCTCCAGTAATTCCAAGAAGTTCTCTTCCTCCAGAAAATTTCTTGGTTCTTTGTTTTGGGAGCTTGCTGAAGCCATCATGGTCTGCCTCTTTATGTGATTTGATACTTACTGTTGTCTCCGAGCCATCAATAAGTTATTGTATTTATTTATTTTATGCTTGCTTACTGTGTCCTAGCTTCTTGTTTTATTTTGTTTTGATATGCCCAAACAGGCTGCTCACGTGAGCTAGTTTGATTGTTGGTACCTTTGAAGCTCTAACGTCCTGTCACCAGGTGGTTAGATCTGTTACCAGGTATGTGAAACCAGGAGTCCATTTACTTTTCTTGTATGGATTCAAGTCAGGGGTCCAGGTAGTCGGTCACCAAATGTGTGGTACAGGCTCTCACCTATAGTCCTAGACGGGCAGAGGTGATTGGAGTAGGCACAGGTATCTGGCTGCAGTAGGGGGTCACGCACTGAATAAGACGGGGGGCTGACAGCTGCTTCTGAGTGTCTGGGAAGAAAACATGTCCCTGTTCCCTAGAGCACATTGTGGGTGGATTTTGCAGCTGGATTGTAGGCAGGCAGTACTGTTAGCTGTAAGGACTGGGAGGCACCACTTATTCTTGGACCCCTGTCGCGGGTGGCTAGGTGGCGTAGGTGGAGCCACCAGGCCTGAGGCCCCTGATGTGGGTAGGTGAGGACCCTGCTTAATAGGCAGAACAGTGTCAAATGTCACAAACCTGCCACTCCACCATATAGCTGACAGTTGAAGTTAGGCTTTGGGTATATTCCCTGTTGTACTGTGCTAATGAGATCCTGTGCCGTTGAAATGGGCCAACACAAGTGTATGCGGGAGTGAAAGGCATTCAAAGTCTGTGGACCCCTTATGCCTATGCCTAGGCAAAGGGGCTGTGCCTGCCCTGAATCCCCAGCTTAGGGGAGCTGGCAGATTATTTTTTCCTGTTTGTTAATTTGTTCCCTCTCCAAGGCTGGGAGAATGGCTCAGGACACGTGATGGGTCCTTACTTCTAGCCCAGGGACGTGGCAGTGGTGAAGCCAGCCTGGGGACCCGGTGCAGAGCGGGGAGGGGGCAGGTAAATGGGAGCGAGATTTTTCCTAAGGGGGGTGTTTTTTGATCCACGCAGTAGGTTAGGTGCACGTACTTATCTTTTGCCAATTGAGCGCTGCTTTTCACTGGTTCTGGAGGCTTGAGTAGACTCTCCTCAGCTCAGTCTCTCCCAGTGTGGAAAACGTGTCCGGAGCACCACCGCTTGCCTCACCGCATGCGCCTGCTGCAAGGTACCAGTCCCCGCTGGGTCAGGTCTGTCAACTCCTGGCTGCTTCTGAACCGTCTCTCCCTCACCCTGCCACTCAGTCCAGTCCCTCAACTTTGCCTTTGATGTTCAGGGCTCCTAGATTGTCATATATAATTGACTGACTTGTTTTTTCAGGTGTTTGTTGTAAAAGGGACCACAAGAAGAGTGTCACTACTCTGCCATCTTGGCCCCGCCTCCAAATTTTGATTTTTTTTTTTTTTTTGATCAGGCAAGAAAGGAGTATATCTATAATCCTAATATTTGTAGTTTCCAGCCTATGTTTTTGTGTGCCACTGAATCATAGCAACCCTTTAGGACAGAGTAGAACTACCCATAGGGCTTCCTAGGCTGTAGTCTTTATAGGAGGAGATCAGCAGGTTTTTTTCTCCCATGGGTATGAACTGCCCACCTTTCACTTAGTAACTGAGTGCTGAACCATTGCACCACCAGTGCTCCTTTTCCAAACTATAGCACTTTCTAAATTTATTAGCACTGTTACCATTAGCGAGGGTAGTCAGGCTAGATACCTCTTACTTTTTGTCTGGTTTTCTTGGATGTGATGCTTCCCCAGCGGAGGATGCATATAAAGACTCTCAGAGGTGGCTCTGGCCAGCATTGTGTGCGGCCAGTGTTCCAGGCTGTGCCTTCTCTGAACCAGAGACGAGTGGAAGATGTTTTTCTTAGTTGTGGTGTAATTGATTACGCTGTTTAGGTGTAGTGATCCATTTTCTGATCAAAAATTAGTATCAACAAATCTAACCTTCTCAATTTTAAGATGATAGAAGGCCCAGGCTCCTGGTCTTCAGTCTAGTGCTGATATTTGCTAATAAATTGATATTAAGGTTTGTGATAGTAAAAAAGAAACGTGATTTAAGAAGTTTCACATTCCATCTTAAAAATAGCAATACAATTTGGTGATCTTCTGTTGTGTATTATGTTTCTCTACAAGCAGAAATGAAGAGTGCAGAACCTTTACGAAGAGAAAAGGGGTATTTGGTCCACGTCGGTGGTCTCTGCCCGTCAGTGTCTGAGGTATGCCAGGATTTCTTTTTTGAGCTTCATTTTCAGTTCTGCTGTTTGTTTTGATTGTTTTGCTTTCTACCTTTAACAAACTTTTATTTCTCTTTTTTTTTTTAAGGCTGATTTAAGGTCTCTTTTCCAGAAATACCAAGTTTCTGAAATTTCAATTTATGATTCTTCTCCTAATTACAGGTAGGTTTCCTAAATTACAGGAACAGACTTCTTACTGGGTGTCTGCCACATGCCAGAAGTTCTGTCAAGACGTCAGCTGCAGTGGTGAGAAAGTCGAGGGCCTTGCCACAGGGAGATCGCAGCGTAGGCAAGGGAGACAGGTTGACATAGCACTGCAGTCATTCACTGGGGCTCTCTTAACGGGATCTTTCTTTCATTATACTTTTTAAGTTGTTATTGATGGCACATAGGAAAGGTTTTTTGTTTTTTTTAATGTATTTTATCTTGTTTTATACCATTTTGTAGGGCCAGTAAAGGGCAATAGCTAAGGGAACGGGCACTAGCTGAATAAACTTGGGCAATTACTTAACCTTTCTGTATCTCTGGCTCTTCATCTGTAAAGTGAGGATAATGCTGGTACCTTCATAGCATTGTTACGGAGTTACTACGAGTTAACGTATGGAAACTAAGAACAAAGCCTGGCAAATAGCAGGTGCTCAGAAAATTGTATTTATTTTTATTTCTGATTTTAATTACTTTTTAGTTGATGATTTTGGTTTTGTGGGGTTTTTTTTTTTTTTTTTTTTCTTTTTAAGGTAGATAGCTATGTCATCTACAGATAGTCCTGTCCAATGCTTATATTGCTACTTTCGTTTTGTGACACTGCCAGAACTTTTAAAAGTATCAACTAATAATGGTGAGAGTTGAATGGAAATGCCTTAGCTGTTTTATCATTAAAATGATAGCTGTTGATTCAGATATAAAATCTTTATCAGTTAAGAAAGGATCCTATTTGTAGTTGAGGTCAAAGTTTATCAAAAAGTGGAATTGAATTTTATTTGTCTTAAATGAGATCTATTAAGATCATATTCTTTTTTTCTATTTTGCCTATCAATAGGGTGTTAATGCATTTTGCTATATTAAAGTAGTGTTGTAATCCTGGAATTATTACTCAGTGTGAAAGATTCTTTTAGTATCTTGTTGAGTTCTTTTTTAAAAACTTTTATTTCTTTCTTACTTGAAGTATTATACATTCTGTGTGGAAATTTAGAAAATGAAGGTAAATACAAGGAAGTTATAAAAACGTGTCCTTAACCTCATCATTCGAAAACAAACGCACTTCAGGTTTGCTGTCTATCTTTCCATTGACACTGTCTCAGACTGGTGCCCCACTTTCTTAATTATACAGTTAAAATTCTGTTTAGGTTTTCTAACTTTTTTTGGTTTATACATAACAATTCAAAAGAGTTAATAATTAGCGTACCTCTCTGACAATGAACTTGAAAACCTGAACTATTTACACAGTTTTCTAGAAAAATATAGTTCTTTAGTGTCTTTGATTATTGCCCCCTTTCAGCTGCTAATTTGAGTTAATTAGGTCATTTCCTGCTCGACCTCCTTTCCCCAAAACGTTGTTTTTTTCAGTGATTATCGGCTTTATTGCTTTGTTGCACAGAACTAGTCCTTAGATTCATTTAGCATTTCTTGTTTTCTGATTTCTCCTTTTATCTTGTTTTCTTGCATTTTTTTCTAATTAAATGCTTAATTTTTTGCGTGTGTAATACTTTGTTCTAAGAACTAAATCTTCTAGTGAAAGCATCTTTACTCCTTTGAAAAATGCCACCTCTTTCCTTCTTTAAGGTGATCTTTGTACAGACAACTCCTGCCACAACTTCTGTTACATTTATTCCTTACTTATATTTTTGTTATTTTAAGGAGTATCTTTTTTAAAATTGTATTTTCTCACTGTTTGGTAATGAGTAGAAATGGAGTTGACTATTTTATATTTGTCTTATGTACAGAAACATTTATAATAGTTTTTCTCAGAATTCTTTTCAGTTTTCTAAAATAGTAAGTTTCAATATAAAATTAATAGGAGATAATTCATAAGAAATGTTGAATAAGTCTTTATTATCCTTTAATTCCCATCTTTATTTCATTATCCTAAATAAATACCTTCCTAATCTCAAGGTAAGTAGAGTAACTTTTTATTTTAAGAGCAGTTATTCTTGAGAAAAATATATTTTACCTAGTAGTTACAAAACTAAGTTTGAAGCAATTTAAAGTCATTAACAAAGAACCTTTTGGTTTTCTGCTTCTGTATTTTAGATATGCATCTCTTGCTTTTACAAAAAACAGTGATGCAAAGATGGCTGTGAAAGAAATGAACGGGATGGAGATAAACAGGAAATTGGTAAACGTGCGGCTGGTTAAGACTCCTGGAGAATACACTTCACCACTTTCCTCCAGAAATGGAAACAGGCTTAGTTTGAATAATGTGGAGAAAAGCACCACCAAAGAAATCAACTCAGCCACTGGCATTTCTAGATTGCCCAGAACTAGGCCGAGGCAGCTGGGGTCTGAGCCAGACAGTGAGTTTTTCCCTGTCGACCAGAAGGTTAGTTTTCTGGATTGATCCTTTAGATGGCTTTTGTATGTGGCATATTGCTATACGTAGCTTGTGGAATAAATAACTCCAGCATCGGCAGTCTTGAAGTGGAAATGACAGCGTTGATTCTGAGTCTTCTTGTCCTTGGATCTGCCCTGGCCTGCTTTGTCCAGCTCCAGGTTGTTCAGTAACTTGAACGAGGCTCTTTACTGGTGCTTTGCGTCTTTTTGTCCCTTTAGTTTTGGACACTACTCCTCCCTAAGTAGTTATAATCAACTGTCATCATGCCTTTTTTCAGTTAACCTTATCTCATAAGTGTTTTAAAACTATGAAATGCAGTTGTTTTATTTTAATATATCCTCATTTCTGCCTCACTGGGGTTATGTACATCACATGGGAAGTGATAAAGTTTGCCTTGTTCATTCTTGTGTGTCCAGAACACCTGGCACGAAGTAGGCTTTCAGCAATTTTTTATTTAATTTACATACAGAAAAATTCACCCTTTTTGATGTCTGTGAGTTTAGACAAATGCATATAGGCATGTACCACCACCACAGTCGAGATACACGACAATTCATCATTCCAGAAAATCCTCTCATGCTCTGATCTGTTTCTTGTTCTTGTAATTTTACCTTTCCAGAATGTTATTAAATGGAATCATACTATGTAACCTTATGGGTCTGGCTTCTTTGACATACCTTAATGCATTTGAGGTCCATGTTGTTGGCGTCTGTCAATAGTTCATTCCTGTTCAAATCTTTTGCCCATTTTTACTGGGTTGTTTATTTTCTTACTGAGTTTTGAGAGTTTTTTATATTCTGGATCTAAGTCCTTCATCAGATAGATATGTGATTTGTAAATACTTTTTCCCAGCTGTGCTTTGTCTTTTCATTCTCTTAACAGTGTTTTTCTCAGAGCAGAAGTTCTGAATTTGGATGAAGTACAATTTATCATTTCTTTTTCTTTTATAGATTGTGCTTTTGGTGTTATATTTGAGACATATTTCCCTAACCCAAGGTCACATAGATTTTGAGTTAATTTTTATATAATATGTGAGGTATGAGTTAGGAGCCTTGGTAGTGCAGTGGTTAAGCTTTTGGCTGCTAACCAGAAGGTAAGCAGTTCGAATCTACCAGCTGTTCCTGTCCTATAAGGTGGCTGTGAGTTGGAATTGACTCAACAGCAACAGGCTTGGGCTTGGAAGTATGAGTTGAGGAGTTTTTTGTTTGTTTTGCATACGGACTTGTTTCAACATTATTTGTTGAAAAGACTGTCCTAACTCCAGTGAGTTACCTTTGCATCTTTATCACAGATCAGTTGGCCACATTTGTGTGGGTCTGTTTCTGGGTTTTTATTTCTGGTCTGTCTGTTCCATTGATCTGTTTATCTGCCTTCATACCAATAGTAGGCTGTCTTGATTACTGTAGCTTTATAGTAAGCCTTAAAATCAGGTAAAATGAATCCTTTTTGTCTTTTTCAAAATTATTTTGGGTATTCTAGTCTCTGCCTTTCTGTATGAATTTTATAATTCATTTTGTTGATACAAAAAATCTTCCTGGGATTTTTATTGAGATTACTCAAATCTATATATAGGAAGAGCAAGTGCCTTTTTATTAATAAATGAATGAAAGAATAAATATTTGTTGAATAAACAAATCTAGATTTTCTCCTTCAGAATAAGGTAAAAGGATCTCTGCTATGTCCCTTATCCTATCTGTTCTTAACCCCTGGAGTCATGCCACTCCTTTTCTGTACCGTTAGCTGCTCCGTTTCCACCTGAGGGGCCTTCTCTCCACTCAGAGTCATGCACGACTCTTCCTAACCCTCACAAGATCTTCAGTTGACTTTGCATTCCTTTGACATCACCATCCTTATTTGTGATGTGTTCTTATAGCCAAACTTCTCAAACAAGTAGTTTATATCCATTTTTTTAAATTTCTCTGATTGCTTCTCTCCTTTGTTTTAATAATCTGACGTTGGTCTCTAAAATTTTCGTTAATCTGCCGTTTCCATTGTTACTTGTTGTGTGCCATTGAGTTGATTCTGACTCATAACAGCCCTATAGGAGAGACTAGAACTACCCCATAAGGTTTCCTAGACTGTAATCTTTATGGGAACAGATCACCAGCTCTTTTCTCCTGTGAAGCTGCTGGTGGGTTCAAACCACAGACCTTTCAGTTAACTGTTGAGCCACCAGGGCTCCTTTCCATATAAAATACTTCCCCCCCACCCCCACCCCCCCGTCTGCCTTGTCTCCCGGTCAGCTCAGGACTCTTCCCTCATTCGACTTTGGTTCTGGTTTGGCCCTGCTTGATTCTAACTCTGCAATGCAAGCGCCTGTCATCATTTGACTAACTCATTTGCTCTGTGTTCCACTTCCACATTTGTTAGACAGCGAACTGATTGATCTAGCCTATGATTTTGTGTTCACTAGTACAGGTGATAACACTCTGGGCCCATTCGGATGTCACAGTGGGCCGTGGAGTTGGCAGAGGGAGGTTATATGGGATAAATAGGGCACCTTGGGCTGTGGGTAGGAGTGCGGGGTGAGAGGCTCCTATTATCATCTCTCTTAAACTATACGCCAAGTTCTCTTACCTTTCCAGCAATTTCTTGTCACCTTTTTCTTTTTCTTAGACTCTCAACATTTCTTCATTCTGTCCCTGGCACGGAGAATGTACTCCATAACTATTAGCTGTTGTTATTATTTACCAGTAATTTGGGCCTTTCTTGGAGATCTCATCCTTTCTGTGGTTTCAGTTGTCACAATCTATTGTATCCCAAACCTTTATTTTTTTATTCAACATTTATTACCACCAATTGTGTTCACCAACAGTGAACAAAAGAGATAAAAACTGTGCATGCTTTCATGGAGCTTACTTCAAGTGGAGGAGACAAGGCAGTAAGAAAATGAGTAAAGTACACGGTATTCTGGTGTGACAGAGCTTTTCACCCAGCTTTCAAGTCTGAACTCTTCCTTCATTGAACTTTCATGGGATTTACAGTATTTTAGATAATTTAAAGCTTACTTGCTTGGTTAATAGTAATTAACTATCATTTTTATTTTGTCTCTTTAATTGGATTATAAGATCCATAGTGGAGGGGGCAGTATTGTGTATGACTAGGTTTTCTCACAGCATGTGCTACAGTTCTGGGCATATAGTTTGTGTTCATTATGTATTTAGTGGATAAGATGTAGAGTGTTTATAACTACCATTTAGACAAGCCTTTCTCTGTCAGGTGGCTGAAAGAATTAAATCTTAATGCTCTAAGCTTAAGACACGCAGTGTATGTAATGAGTTAACCTCGCTGTATCTAGAATGGAACTATAGTTATGTACTGTCTTTGGAGAGAATTGGGAGAATTGAGAAAATAATTACATCATTTTCTGTGTTCTGTGGTTCAGATGAGGAATCCTGGCAGAGAAAGGCTGACTTAGATGTAGCCTCATACACTTCATGACTTCTGTAAGTAAACATGCAGGCATGTTTCTCAATACATGGCCCTGTGTACAGTTCAAGTAAAACTACTTGGTATAAATAGTTTCAAATCAAAGTAAATTTCTTAGGCATTTTTATTTTACTGTTTATAATTTTAAAATTTATTTTAATTGAATAAGCTGGATTGTCTCTATGTAATGTTCCTTACTTACTGATTTTAAAAAAACTTTAAAAATACTTATTTAGGGTGTCAAGAAGAATTGTAAAGAGATTGAATCTGCTAAATTATTACCTGATATACCTGCTCAATTCATACCTCCAAATACTTTGAACCTGCGTAGCTTTACCAAGATCATGAAGAAACTGACTGAACTACACCCAGAAGTTAGCAGGTGATGACTGAAATTGTATTTGAACTGGTTTTAAACTTTTTATGTAAAAATATAGTTCAGTTTAGTCACCAGACCGTGTTCTGAATGTGTTAATTGGGAAAGGGCAATGCTCGTGTATGTTTTTCTTTTCCATAGAGACCGTATTGTCAGTGCCCTTCAGGAAGTGAGACTGAGCCATAAGGGTTTTCTGAATGGCTTATCTATTAGTACTATCGTGGAAATGACTTCATCTGTTTTGGAAAACTCTGCTTCCATTTAGGAATAAAAGAAGCAATGAAGAGGTAAGCTGATAATATTATTTTATATTTAAATAATTTATATTTAAATGATACTTTAAAAGCTATTGATTTTATTTTCACATGAAAATAATTATTTTTTTAAACCACTGTATTAGTTAACTATTAATGCAAAACAAATTACCTCAAAGCTGAGTGGTTTAAATAACAAACCTGTATTATGTAACAGTTTCTATGGGTCAGGATTCAGGAGTGCCTTAGCTGAGTGGTTTTAGATCAGGGTCTCTCATGGTGTTGGCCAGGGCTGTATTCATCGAAGGCTAGACTGAGAATCTGACTTCCTAGATGCCTCACTTACGCGGCTATGGGCAGGACACCTCTGTCCCTCACCACGCAGACCTCTTCATAGCATTGCTTAAGTGTATTTGCATTGTGGCAGCTGGCTTCCCCTGGAGCAAGAGACACTAGAGAGAGAGCAAGGTGGAAGCTGCCAGGCCTTTTGTGATCTACCCTCAGAAGTCACACTTCTTCATTTCTGCCACATTCTATTCATTACATGTTAGTGACTATGTGCAGCCCATACTTGAGGGGAGAGACATTAAGCTCTACCTCTTGGAGAGGGGAGTATAAAAGAATTTGTGCATAAATTTTTAAATTACCACGTATAAACATAAAATCCTTCTCTTACAAAATGGTGAGTGGACCTTCCGTTTCCAGTTCTAGCTGTCATAGGTGATACAAACCAACTTTCCATGGAAACAAGTAGAAAAGCTAAATAAAATATGAAGAACATCTGCTTGAAGGCACTGGAGAACTGACAAGTGATGAATTACTAGGCCAGGGTACAGAGAAGATGAGTCATAGGGAATTATACCCAATTGGATCACTTCTCCTCTGGTGTTATTTGTAGAGGGGCAGGGAGGAGTTTGAGGGGACTTTCTGATAGCTTCCCAGCCAGGGGCATGGGAATAGAAAGCCCTGGCTTGCCAAGGGGGCATAGGGCCTTGGTGACCTCTCAGCATTGGGGTTGGGACCCCAAAGTCCTATACTTTAGGAGTAAACTTAAACCAAAATAGATAGTTTCCCAGAGGTACTGTAACTCAGCTGCACATTTTATTCCCTAAACTGGATTGAGACTGTCTAGGGTTACTAGTCCTGCCAGATACCTGGAAGAAATGAAGGTAAGAATTCTCTGGAAGAAGTAATACCATTTTAGGCCTCAAATTATTTCTACCAGTAATTTTGCAAAAACTAGTTTATAAATAAGAATATATGATCAAAAGTAACTAATCATAAAGGAAATAAGGCCACATGAGTAAAAACCAGCAAAAGCTCTAGATAATAGAAACTGATTTCTGGGACCTCCAATTCTATAAGTTACCAGACACACTTTTAAAAATCAAGCATACTTATATGTGATAGAGTCTTTGCAAAAGTGGCCATAATTATTCCTCTTCTTTATCCATACCCTTTTGCGATGTGACTTTACAGCGCATTCCATCAAGAAATGGGATCTAAATCCAAACTCCCCGAGGGACCAAACTGCTGGGCTGAGGGCTGTGGGGACCATGATCTCGGGCAATATCTAGCTCAATTGGCATAACATAGTTTATAAAGAAAAAGTTCTGCATTCTGCTTTGGTGAGTAATGTCTGGGATCTTAAAAGCCTGTGAGCAGCCATCTAAGATACTCCACTGTCTCACCCCTTCAGAAGCAAGGGAGTATGAAGAAAATTAAAGATACAAGGGAAAGATTAGTCCAGAGGACTAATGGACCACAACTACCACAGCCTTCACCAGACTGAGTCAAGTATAACTAGATGGTGCCCGGCTACCAGCACTGACTGCTCTGACAGGGATCACAGTAGAGGGTCCCAAACAGAGCTGGAGAAAAATGTAGAACAAAATTATAACTCATAAAAAAAGACCAGACTTACTGGCGTGACAGAGACTGGAGAAACCCCCAGAGTATGGCCCCCAGACACCCTTTTAGCTCAGTAATGAAGTTGCTCCTGAGGTTCACCCTTCATTGAAAGACTAGACAGGCACATAAAACAAAATGAGACTGAAGGGGCACACCAGCCCAGGGGCAAGGACTAGAAGGCAGGAGGGGACAAGGAAGCTGGTGATAGGGAACCCAAGATCAAGAAGAGAGAGTGTTAACGTGTTGTGGGGTTGTTAACCAATGTCATAAAACAATATATGTACTATTAATGAGAAGCGAGTTTGTTCTGTAAACCTTCATCTGAAGTGCAGTTAAAAAAAAGAAAGAAAGAAATGGAGTCTTTTGTCCTACCTTCATGAATCTAGGGTGGCCTCTTGACTTGCTTTGACAAGTTGTACCACTTCTAAGCCTAGTCCTCAAGAGGCCTTGCTCACTCTGCTCTCTATTGAACTTCGCCATCACGGTGTGAAGAAGCCCAGACAGCCTGCTAGAAGACAGAAGGCTGGGTGAAGAATAGCCAAGGATCCCAGGCAACTGATCCCAAACCCAGTCTCAATCAGCAGGTCCACCCACCCTAGCTGGCAGCAGACCATAGATGTGTGAGTGGGCTAAGCCATGATGAAGAGAATTGCCCAGATGAGGCCAGCCCAGATGGCTAACTGGCAGGATTATAGGCTAAAAAAATTGTAGTTTTACGCTACTAAATTTTGAAGGTGGCTTGTTACACAGCAAAAGCTACGTGATTCAAATGTATTACGTTTGAGGAGACAGAAGAAAGAATTCAGAATTTTAGTAGAGAACTGAAAATTTTTTTTTTAAAGGAGATTCTCTGTATGAGAAAATAACTAAAGTTAAGAACTCAGTTAAGAAAACACCTCACAACATGGATGAATCTGGAGTGAATTATGCTGAGTGAACAAATTATGCTGAGTGAAATAAGTCAGTCACAAAAGGACTAATATTGTATGAGATCACAATTATAAGAGCTCAAGAAAAGGTTTACATGCAGAAGAAGCATTCTTCGATGGTTGCAAGGGTGGGGAGGGTGGGGAAGGGAAAATCACTGATAGATAGTAGAAAAGTGTCACCTTTGATGAAGGGAAAGACAACACAATAGGCAGAACAATTGGACCAAAGAAAAGCATAGAAGTTTCCTAGACGCATCCAAATACCTTGAGGGACCTAGGGGCTGGGGACCATAGTCTCGGGGGACATCTAGTTCATAAAGAAAATACTCTACATCCCACTTTGGTGAGTAGTTGGGTACTAAAAAGCTTGCAGATGGCCATCTAAGATACATCTATTGGTCCCATCCTGTCCAGAGCAAAGGAGAATGAAGAAAACCAAAGACACAAGGAAAATACTAGACCAAAGGAGTAAAGGAACATGTGAACCAGAGACTCCATCAACCTGAGCCCAGAAGAACTAGATGGTGCCCAGCTACCACTACTGACCACTCTGATAGGGATCACAACACAGAGTCCTGGACAGAATGAGAGAAAAATGTAGAACAGAATTCAAATTCATGAAAAAAGACCAGACTTACTGGTCTGACAGAGACTGGAGGAACCTCCAAAACTATGGCCCTGGGACACTCTGCTAACTCAGAACTGAAACCACTCTCAAAGCCCACTTTTCAAAGATTAGACAGGTCTGTAAAACAATGACACATATGAGGAACGTGCTTCTTAGTTCAGTCAAATACATAAAACCAAATGGACAACTCCTACTGAAAAGTAAGATGAAAATGCAGGAAGGGACAGGAAGTGGATGAATGGACACAGCGAACCCAGGTGGAAAGGGGGAATGTGTTGTCACATTGTAGGGATTACAACCAATGTCACAAAACAATATGTTTATAAATTTTTGAATGAGAAATTAACTTGAGCTGCAAACTTGCACCTAAAGCACATTTAAAAAAAAAAAACCTCAGTTAATAGGTTCCACAGAAGATAAGACAAATAGCTGTGGAGAACTAGAAACATAGTTCAAAAGAAGCTATGGAGTGAAGCACAGAGAAATGAAAGAATGGAAGACACAGAAGAGAATGTAAAAGACATGAACATGTAATGAGAAGGGAAAAGAGAGAAAAGAGCAGACACAAAATTTGAAAACTCTTTTAAATGATGAAAAATATCAAGCCAAAAATTCAATAAAACTTTTTCCAGTCCCAAGCATGAAAAATAAAAAGACTTAAGTACATCAGAGAAAAACTGCTTGAAAATCAAAGCTAAAAAAGAAAATATAAAATTGGAACCATTACACATTGCTGGTGGGAATGCCAAATGGTACAACCACTGTACAAAACAGCGTGGTGCTTCCTCAAAAAACTAAAAATAGAACTACTATATGATCCAGCAATTCCGCTCCTAGGTATATACCCAAAAGATTTGAAAGCAGAGACTTGTACACCACTGTTCGTTGCAGCACTATTCATAGTAGCCAAAGGTGGAAACAAATGTACATCATCATTTTAATGGATAAAGAAAATGTAGTGCATGTATACAGTGGAACACTACTTAGCCAGTAGGAGAAATGAAGTCTTGATACGCACTACAACGTGGATGGAGCTGAAAGACATTATGGCGAGTGAAATAAGTCAATCACAAAAGGACAAATATTGTATGACCTCCCTTATATAAAAAGACAAGAAAAGGTAAGTGTATAGAGACCAAAGTTTATTAATGGTTGCCAGGAGCTGGAGGGTAGGGGAAAAGGGGGGAGTCAATGGTGATGGAAAAAGAGTCTTCAAGAATAAAAGTAAAATAAATACATTTTCACTCAAAAACTAAGATAATTTGTTACTTTAGAAGAAAACTCACTCTAAAGAAAATACTAAAGAATGTTTTCTAGGAAGAAAGTGGTCTTAGATGAAAGTCAGAGGCCCAGGAAAAATTAGATCAAAAGAGAGTATATTCAGTATATCGCCATTAGTAAGGACTGTATAAAACAAGAATGATTGTGTTTTATGGGATGTAATATAGAAGAGATCCATACTTGTGCCCATTTCAAAGAAACGAGATCCCACAGAATGTGGAAGCTATTGAACAATATCATTAATATCACACGCAAGTAAAATTTTGCTGAAGATTATTGAAAAACGATTACAAGCAGTACATCAACAGGGAGCTGCCAGAAATTCAAACCAGATTCAGATGAGGATAATAGAACAAGGGATATCATTGCTGATGTCAGATGGATCCTGAAAGCAGAGAATACCAGAAAGATGTTTACATGTGTTTTATTGACTATGCTGAGGCATTCGACTGTGTGGATCATAACAAATAATGGATAACATTACAAAGAATGGGAATTCCAGAACAATTGTGCTCATGAGGAACTTGGATTATATGAAGAACGAGGCATCAGGATTGGAGGAAGTTGCCTTAACAACCATTGATATGCAGATGACACAACTTTGCTTTCTGAAAGTGAAGAAGACTTGAAACACTTAATGATGAAGATCAAAGAATACAGCCTTCAGTAGAGATTGCACCTCAACATAAAAGCCCTCATAATTGGATCAATAAACAACATCATGATGAACGGAGAAAATATTGAAGTTGTTAAGGATTTCATTTTACTTAGATCCACAGTCAACACCCGTGGAAGCAGCAGTCAAGAAATCAAATGACGCTTTGCATTGGGAGATCTCTTGCAGAAGACTGCTTTAAAGTAATAAAAAGCAAAGATGTCACTTTGAGGACTAAGGTGCACCTGACTCAAGCCATGATATTTTCATTTGCCTCATATGCATGTGAAAGCTGGACAGTGAATAAGGAAGGCTGAAGAAGAATTGATGCCTTTGAATTATGGTATTGGTGAAGAATATTAAATATACCATGGACTGCCAAAAGAATGAACAAATCTGTCTTGGAAGAAGTACAACCAAAATGTTCCTTAGAAGCATGGATGGCTAGACTTCGTCTCACGTACTTTTGACATATTATCAGGAGGGATCAGTCTCTGGAGAAGAACATCATGCTTGGTAAAGTAGAGTGTCAACGAAAGAGAGGAAGAACATCAGTGAGATGGATTGACGTAGCTGCAACAGTGAGCTCAAACATCGCAATGATTGTGAGGATGGCGCAGGACTAGGCAGTGTTTCATTCTGTTGTAATAGTGTCGCTACGAGTTGGAAGCAACTCAACAGCACCTAATAACTCTGTGTGTGTGTGTGTGTGTGTGTGTGTGTGTATGCGTGTACACACAGACACTCATAAAACATTAAAATAGCAACAGTGGAGTATAAGTCGAGGAAGGATTAAGTACAGTTACTGTTCTAAGCACCCTGAAGTTTAGGGCAGGGGTAAAATGGACTATTTTGAGAACTCCAAGACCATCTCCAGGTTCATTTAATCACTAGGAGGGCTCACAGGACTCAGCATTAGTTGTGCACATGGCCCTGATTTATTACAGAGAGCGGATACAAAGCAACATCAGCAAAGGGAAAGGTGCATTGGGTGAAGTCCAGGAGAAACCGGGCACAGTCTTCCAAGAGTCACTTTCCAGGAGAATCCGAAAGGGTGTGCTAATTCCTCCAGCAACATATTGTGACAGCATGAGTGATATGTAGTCTGCCAGGGAAGCTCATTAGAGACAAAGCACCCAAGGTTTTTATCAGGGATGGTCATGTGGGAACCCTCCGGATAGCACATACCAAAGTTCCAGACTCCCAGACGGAGAGCTGGTGTTCAGCCTGCTACATTAACCAGTTAATACCAGACTTTGATAAGTAGAAGGTGCATGTTGTAATCTCTGGGATAAACACTAAAAGAAAGTAAAAAAGCATGTAACTCCCATGCTAATATAGTGGGAGGAGGGGAATGGAGTAATAAAAAATAGTGCAAAGGTAGGTAATAAAGGAGACTAAATGGACATAGGCAAGACAAATAGAAAGTACTTAGTAAAATGATAGAAACCCAGTTATATTAGTAATTAAATATAGATATAAATGAGCTAAATATCCCTGTTACGGACTGAGATTGTCAGATTGGATTTTTAAAACCAAGTATAGAGTTTCTGTAGACACATCTAAAACATTAGGATATCAGAAGATAAAAGGATGGGAAAAGAGATAACCATGCTATATTAATGTCAGACCAAGTAGACTCTACAATAAAATTACTAATTGAAGAAGAAACAGTTTCCCAGAAACAAGTAAAAATGCCAAATTTACATGCATTTAATAACACCCTTCAGAATACACAGAGCAGATATTTCTGGAAGTACCAGGAGAATTGGACAATTTTACAATTACAACGAGAGATGTTAATACCTGTGATAGAAGAAACAGATGAAAAAATTAGTAATGCCATGTAGATCTGAACAACCCAAATAACCAACTTGACTTATTGGACATACATAAGCCAAAGAATGCAACAACTGCAAAATAAAGTCTCTTCACATCACATGAAATATTTATAAAATCTGACCATATGCTGGATTATAAAAAAGCAAGTCTCAAATACCAAAGGATTGAAAAGAGAGTGTTGAAATAATGAAAAGATAAATAGAAAATCTCCACACTTGGGTATAAATGTCTAAAGAACCAATGAGTCAAAGAAATCGTAATGAAAAGTATACCATGTTTTAGTGGATGATAATGAAAATTCTCCACATCAAAATTTATGTAATGCAGCTCCATGCATTTCCTGCTGAGTGGGTGGAGAGCTTTAAATGCGCGTATAATGAAGATCAGTGAGCAAAGTCTGTAACTGAAGACATAGACATGTTCTCACCATGATGCCAGTCAGGTTTTTTTCTTTTAAAACAGCCTAACTACTTCTCTGTATGTATGATATCTAATGATCTGCTTCTGTTATTCATCTAGTGATAGAGTTTAATGAAAAGCTGATGAAATGATTCTAAGAGGAGGGGGGATATTGATGGAGGCAAAACCTCTATGAAAGTAACTTCACGTAGTTTTGGCTTTGGAAGCTAAACTATGCATGTGCAAATAGAAAATTAAATCAAAACGGAAGAAATCAGCCCTAAAAATGAAAACAAAACTAAAATGAATGAAACAAGCTACATTGATTTGGTGACTTAACCACATATGATTTTGAAGGAATCATGACTGATTGAGGATAGAGTGTAATGATACGACACTCATATCTATGATAAATGAGTTAATGATAATGATTAGTGGTAGAACGTAGTGATAAATAAATATATACTTTCTGGAGTATTGGGTTTAGCATAACCAACACACATTTTATTGTCGATTTCTCTTCTCTTTTTGACCCTGTAGACTTTCCTTGGAAAGCTTGAATCCCCACCTTCAGAGAATGTTCTACAGCATTAGGAAAAAGTTGTGGTAATAGCAAAAGGACATAATTAAATAGATTCTATAAAAGGATTTAACTGTTTATAATGTTCTGCTTTTTAGCCCTTTCTTAAAATCTAGCAACTATTGTTTCTACAGTATTAAGACCTCTGTATAAAGATTAAAAGATAACTTCAGTAAGTTTATAAACTTTATATTTCAAACTTGTTAGAGACTTTGAGCTGCATATTTTGTATAAGAAAAAAATAGTGTCCATTAAAAAAACCTTGGTTAAATCTGTTTATTAAAATATTGTAAAGAGAAGATTGTTACTGTTTCTGAGTTTGTTAAATGATTTACAAAGATGAAAAATGTAGTGTGCTCGAAGTTTGTGCCTTAGCTGTACTTTCACTTGTCTAAGACTCTTATGTTGGACCGCAGGATAGTAGATAAATAAACTGAATCTGTGGATAGAAGACATTTCAGAACTTGTATATGCTCAAGCTTCCAAGAACAGTGAATTACTACTGTGACACATTTAATGTGTTAATGACCTCAACAATAAAACATTTCAGACGTATCTCCCCAGTTTTCACTGGAAAGAGTGAACCCAGGCACACTTTGGTAAAGTCCTTAAATGTTCAGCATATTGCTTGTATTATGTTAGGGTGTGATTTGGAACAATTTTTGAAGCCTAATGTTATACCTTATCTGATAGCAATATGGAGTATAAAGTCCTTTAATTGCTTACTTTCTTAAAATCACATACTATTCAAAGTTGCATTTTTACTGATAGTAAGATTAACATGTAAGTATGCTTTTCTTCAAATATTAAAATATTTAGAGCACTCAATATTCAGTTGGTGTCAGTTGCCTGAAAATTATCCATTTAACATTTATATTTGATGTATTTGCATTTAATAAAGACAGCTAACTATAGTAGCACTGTACATTTAATACTTTATGCAGATGTGATGGCATTTTCCAAGTGTAAGTTAAAACCTACCAATACCTATGGGAAGTACACATGGATGGTAAGGCTTTTACTATGTGTTAAATCATACAGTTGTTTATATTAAAAGGCTACACTCAGAGTTCATGTTGAACGAAGCTGCAACATGGAATAGACATTATTCTCAACATGCTAGGAGCAGTTAGAAAGATACATCTAGTCATTTATTTCTGAAAAGATTTAATGAAGTGGAATTCCCTCTTAGAAAAAAACATTGAGACCGAACTGCTGCATTTGATATGGAAGTTTTATTTGAAATAACTTTCAGGTACTGTGAAATAAAGAAATTTTTGTCAAAAGGTTTAAACACAGAAGAAAACATTCTTCGATAGTTACAAGGGCGGGAAGGGAGAAGGAGGGGAATTCACTAACTAGATAGTAGACAAGAATCATCTTAGGTGAAGGGAAGGACACACAATACAGGGGAGGTCAGCACAGCTGGACCAAAGCAAAAGCATAGAAGTTTCCTGAACACAACCATACACTTTGAGGGACAGAGTAGCTGGGGCCTGGGGAACCACAGTTTCAGGGAACATCTAGGTCCATTGGCATAACAAAGTTTATTGAGAAAATGTTCTGCATCCCACTTTGGTGAGTGGCGTCTGGGGTCTCAAAAGCTTGCAGACGTCCATCTAAGATGCACCAATTAGTCCCAACCCACTTGGAGCAAAGGAGAAGGAAGAACACCAACGACAAAAGATATTAACCCAAGAGACAGAAGGTCCACATAAGCCAGAGACTTCATCAACCTGAGACCAGAAGAACTAAATGGTGCCCAGCTACCATCAGTGACCGCCCTGACAGGGAACACAACAGAGAGTCCTGGACAGAGTGAAAAAAGTGCAGGGTGGAACTCAAATTCACATAAAAGCACCAGACTTAATGGTCTGACTGAGACTGGAGGAACCCCCAAAGCTATGGCCCCGGACGCTCTGTTAACCCAGAACTAAAACCATTCCTGAAGCCCATTCTTCAGACAAAGATTAGACCGGACTGTAAAACAATACTCATGAGTCAGATACATGAGACCAAATGTCCGACTGCTGTCCAGAGGTAGGATGAGAAGGCAGGAACAGGAACTGGTTGAATGGACACGAGAAACCTGGGGTGGAAAGGAGTGTGCTGTCACATTGTAGGGATTGCAACTAATGTCACATAACAATGTGTATAAATTTTTGTATGAAAACTTAACTTGAGCTGTAAACTTTCACCTAAAGCACAAAATATATATATATATATATAAAAAGTTCTTGTCACCAAAAACGAAAGGTAAGGATCAGACAGCTTGTGCAGATCAAAGGGCTTTTTCTGCTATGACCAGTAAATTGATAGCTGTTATTCAGCTTCCCATTTAACAGTTATTGAACAATATCATTAATACCACATGCAAGTAAAATTTTACTGAAGATCATTCAAAAGCAGCTGCAGCAGTACATTTACATTGAGCTGCCAGAAATTCAAGGTGCATTCAGCAGAGGACTGGAACCAGGGATGTCAGATGGATCCTGGCTGAAAGCAGAGAATACCAGAAAGATGTTAACCTGTGTTTTATTAACTATGCAAAGGCATTCGACTGTGTGGATCATAACAGATTGTGGATAACATCGTGGAGAATGGGAATTTCAGAACAGTTAATTGTGCTTATGAGGAACCTGTACATAGATCAAAAGGCAGTCATTCGAACAGAACAAGGGGATACTGCATGGTTTAAAGTCAGGAAAGGTGTGCATCAGGGTTGTAACTTTGACCATACCTATTCAGTCTGTATGCTTAGCAACAGACTATATGAAAAACGGGGCATCAGGATTGGAGGACGGCTGATTAACAACCTGCGTTATGCAGATGACACGGCCTTGCTTGCTGAAAGTGAAGAGGACTTGAAGTACTTACAGATGAAGATCAAAGACCACAGCCTTCAGTATGGATTACACCTCAACATAAAACAAAAATCCTCACAAGTGGACCAAGAAGCAACATTATGATAAACAGAAAAGATTGAAGTTGTCAAGGATTTCATTTTACTTGGATCCACAATCAATACCCATGGAAGCAGCAGTTAAGAAGTCAAACAACACATTGCGTTGGGGAAATCTGCTGCAAAAGACCTCTTCAAAGTGTTCAAAAGCAAAGATGTCACCTTGAAGACTAAAACAGTCACCTCATATACATGTGAAAACTGGACAATAAATAAGGAAGACCAAAGAATTGACAGTTTGAATTATGGTGTTGGTGAAGAATATTAAATATAGCATGGACTGCTGAAAGACTGAACAAATGTGTCTTGGAAGAAGTACATCCAGAGTGCTTCTTAGAAGTAAAGATGGTGAGACTACATCTCACATACTTTGGACATGTTACCAGGAGGGATCTGGCTATGGAGAAGGACATCATGCTTGGTAAAGTAGAGGGTCATCAGAAAAGAGGAAGACCCTCAACGAGATGGACTGACACAGTGGCTGCAACAATGGGCCAAAGCATAACGATTGTGAGGATGGCACAGGACCAGGCGGTGTTTTGTTCTGTTGTGCATAGGGTTGCTACGAGTCAGAATCGACTCGACTAACAACAGAATCATTCTTCATGAGTCTTTCAGAACCTCAAGTGAAAAATCTCTGATTTGATATTAGTTAATTATGTAAAATGCTTGTAGAATTTTAAGATTGGTCAAATCGTCCAGATGTCTTCACTGACAAAATTTTAGATAATTTTAACATATTTACATTATTGCTCGAAACCTTTTTTTTTTTTTTGTACTTCATTACTGGAATATCAACTAGAACATAGATAATTATGCTTGGAGAGAACCAGAGGACTTTTGTGATAAGACTATCACGAAAAGTGGAACTAAAAATTCCTAGCTGGCTCTGCTTGATGCCGATCTTCATTCTGGTCAAACGAGATGATACATGTACCTGAGAAGCTCAGTGTAATAGATGGTTTCTTTTTAAAGAAATCATCCTCAAGCCGGTATTCTGTATATTTTGACTTTAAGTACTACTATTTCAATATTCACCATTGTTACTTATTATCAAGTATAATAATACTTGGCACATAGTAAGACGTTTAATAAATGTTAACTCTTGTGGTAGAATAATGGCCCTCCAGAGATGTTTATGTTCTCGTCCCCAGAACCTGTGACTATGCCTTACATGGCAAAGGGGATGTCATGGATTGAGTTGTGTCCCCAAAAAATATCTGTCAGCTTGGCTGGGTCATGATTCCCAGTATTGTATGATTATCTGATGTGATTTCCTTATGTGTTGTAAACTCTATCACTATGATGAGATTATATGTGATCTCCTTATGTGTTGTAAATTATATCACTGTGATGAGGTTATACTGATGAGGTTGACAAGATTAGTGTCTTAATGCAATCTCTTGAGATATAAAAGAGAATCGAGCAGAGACACAAGGGAACCTCATACCACCAAGAAAGCAGTGCTGGGAGCAGAGCTGAGGTTCCTGCGCAGAGAAGCTCCCAGACCAAAGGAAGACTGATGACATGGACTTTCCTCCAGAGCCGATGGAGAAAGCGTTCCCCTGGAGCTGATGCCCTGAACTTGGACTTGTAGCCTACTGGACTGTGAGAGAATAAACTTCTCTTTGCTAAAGCCATCCACTTGTGGTATCTCTGTTAGAGCAGCACTAGATGACTAAGACAGGGGACTTAGGTTGCAGATGCAGTTCAGGTTGCCTTGAGATGAGAAGATTATCCTCGATTTTCTAGGTAGGCCCAGTCTAATCACATGAGTCCATCAAAGTGGAAGAGAAGCTAGAAGAGAAAAGCAGGGAGATGGCATCACGGAAAGAACTCGGCCCCACATTCCTGCTTTAAAATGGAGGAAGTGGGCCATCAACCAAGGAATGCGGGCAGCCTTTAGCAGCTGGAAAAGACAGGAGAGAGGATCCTCCCCCTAGAGCCTCCAGGAGGAACGCAACCCTGCCAGCACCTTGACTTTAGCCAAGGGAGACCAGTGTTGGGCTTCTGACCTAGAGAAGTGTAATACAATAAATCTGTGTTGTTGTAATGACAGTCACCAAGTTTGTGGTAATTTGTTAATCAGCAATAGAAAACTAATAACAGCTATAATTGTTACCACTAGGAATCTAAGATTGTTTGCTGAGTCTGTATCTTTGCCTGAATTTTGATTCTTGGGGGGAAGGCAGTAATGCATGAACTATGAATGTTATATAAACCCCAGTTACTCATATTTACATAGAACCTGTGTTGTTAGGTGCCATCAGGTCATTTCTGACTTGTGGCGACCCTGTGTACAACAGAAACACTGCCTGGTCCTGTGCCATCCTCACAGTTACTGCTATGTTTGAGCTCATTGTTGCATCTACTGTGTCAGTCCATCTCGTTGAGGGTCTTCCTCTTTTTCACTGACTCTCTACCAAGCATGATGTCCTTCTCCAGGGACTGGTCCCTTCTGATAACATATGCAAAGTATGTGAGATGAAGTTCATCATCCTTCCTTGTAAGGAACATTTTAGCTGTACTTCTTCCAAGACAGATTTGTTCATTCTTCTGGCAGTCCATGGTATATTCAGTATTCACCAACACCATAATTCAAAGGCATCAATTCTTTGGTCTTCATTATTAGTTGTCCAGCTTTCACATGCATATGAGGCAATTAAAAGCACCATGGCTTGGGTCAGGCACGTGCTAGCCCTCAAAGTGACATTTTTGTTTTATAACACTTTAAAAGAGGTTGTGATGGTTAAGATTGTGTGTCAACTTGGCTGGGCCGTGGTTCTCCGTGTTTTAATGTAATCACTCCCATGATTGAGTATACTGTGAGTAGCCAATCAGATGAAAGGGGGTCTCCTTGAGGGTGTGGCCCGCATCTATATCTAAGCAGACGTTCTGGCTTTTTGCTCTCCCTGGATCCTGCGGCTGCTTCCTGTCGTCTCATCTCCTGTTCTTGGGACTTGAGCTGTCAGCTTATCTGCCGAACCTGGGATTCGTCAATCTGCACAGCCTGTGAGTGGGAGCCCTGTTCTCCGACCTTCCGATCTTGGGCTTGCCAGCTTCGGCAGCTGTGTGACTTGGGAGAGGCCTCTACGCTGATCCACGGACTTGGGACGTTCTAGCGTCTACAATTGCATGAGCTGTTTCCTTGATATAATCTCTCTCTATATATATATTTATACACTTTACTGGTTTTGCTTCTCTAGAGAACCCAGCCTAAGACAGGTCTTTTGCAGCAGATTTGTCCAGTGCAATGTGTCATTTGATTTCTTGACTGCTGCTTATTATACCTTAATAACATGGTAGTTAGGGTTGATAAAATAGTCACTTGACAGATCAGAGAACGTCGTTTATTTATACAGTGAAACCTGTGAGAAAAGAACTTGACTGCCCTGGTTTTCTGGGTCTCCCAAGTTTTCCACTGTTGATAGGGTGCAGTCTTACCACTTTTCTATCGCTCCTTTTATTTAGTCAAAGGTATTTGGGTTTTCCTTCTCTGACAGATGTCTGCCTTACACAGGTCTGGCTTTCACTGGCCTTACTGCACTGTGGGCATTGACTGCTGTAAATGGCTTTGGCTCTGACTGCCAGCAAGCTGAGAGCCAGCTTGTTCCTCTTGAATGGCATAGTGTTTCAGGTTTTCTGGATTCAAATTCCTGTTCCACTTCTGTTCACTGTGTTTAGCCTTGCACAAGTCGCTTCATTTCCCTGTGCCTCAGTTTCCTGGTGTGTAAAACGGAGAGAAGTCGCTGCCCTGCCAGGGAGGTAATAAACAGTGAGCCCGGTGGTTGTGCCCCCCCTGCAGTGCTCACCAGCAGCGTGCACTTATGCCCACTCTGCAGCGCCTTCGCCCTGACTTTAGGGCGGTGTCCTGTTATCGGACTTCCACTCTGTTTTTGCTTCTCTCCTGTGAAGTTCTGTAACCTGCCTCAGGATCTCTTAGAATAAGGCAGGCTATGAGTCAGTATGTTAGTCTGGGGACACCTGATTACAAATGATGGAAACGAAACTCAAACTAGCTGAAGCACAAAAAAATGAAAACTACTTACATAAGTGAGGACTCCAGAAATGAATTCCAGTGTGGCCGAATCTCCTTTCTTCTGGATTGACATCGGTCTCTTCACACGAGGGCAAAGATGGCTACCAGCGGGTCTAGCTAGGCCTTACATAATTTATGCAGTTCTTAGTGTTAAAAACACTAGAAAAAAAGGTGCATTTCCTTCTGTTGTTGGTTACTGTCGAGTGAGTTCCAACTCATAGTGACCCTCTGTACAACAGAAGGAAACACTGCCGAGTCCTGCACCATCATGATCATTGTTAGGCTTGAGCCCATTGTTGTACTGTGTCAATCCATCTTGTTGAAGGTCTTCCTCTTTTTAGCTGACCCTCTACTTTACCAAGCATGATGTCCTTCTCCAGGGACTGGCCCCTCCTGATAACATGTCCAAAGTACATGAGACAAAGTCTCGCCATCCCCACTTCTGAAGATCATTTTTGTTGTACTTCTGCCAAGACAGACTTGTTCATTCTTCTGGCAGTTTGTGGTATGTTTAATATTCTTCACCAACGCCATCTTGGCTGGAGGCTGAGATCATCTTAATGTTTTGAATTTTTAGTTATGCTGTCCAGGTCTTGTTGACCTGTCTGGATTGTGTCTTTAACTCTCCCATGGACACTATACAGTGTCCATTTGCTTCCCTCTTCAATTTGTTTAAGGTCCATCAGATGGCAGTACTGGGGGAGGAGTGATTTTCCATACTGCCTGTTACCGTCCAGAATACATCAATCAGAACCTAGTGTATCAGGGCTGAAGGGGCAAGTCTGAAAGTGCTTGTCCCACGTGACTACCTTGGCAAAGGGGAACCGGTAGGAATTACTGGGGAGTCTTACCCAGACCCCAGGTGCAGATTGGAAATCGGGAGAGAATTCCTACATGTGTCAGTCCTGCTTGGGCATGCTCCCAGTTTGTCTTGTTGGGGACACGTACCTGCTGGGGCTGTGTGTGAGAAAAGCGGTGGCTGGAGGAGAAATGGTGAGGGGTTTCCCCCACGCCAGCCATGCTCCTGTGGCAATGGGGTTTCAGCAAGAAAAGTTTGGGCAGAAAGGCCTGGCTGATCCTGGAGATGAGAATGCGGAGACCCGGGGGCCCTGGGTGATGCAGAGGGGACCCGCTGTAAGAAGGTGTAGAGAAGGCTGAAAGGGACAGGGTGGAAGGCGAGTCCTGCAGCAGCAGCGTGCACCCCTGCTTCACAGGTGACCGGTGCCACCTGGCGCAGGAGCACCGTCTGCCTTGTTTCTTTGGCCGGCCCTAACTGCCCTTCCCGTGAGTACCTGAGCTCCCGCGCTGACCGGGCCTGTGGTGCGCATGTTGGCCGGGAGCGCGCGCCAGCGCCTGTTCTCCCAGCTGACTGGCAGGTGGCAGCAAACTCCTGGCCTCCAGCTCTGTTGCGATCCCTTCAGCAGAAAGAAATGCAGGTCAGTTGGCACCGACTGGCCACACTGCGCTGGGCGCTGTGCTGACGGCAGGAGCCGCACTGCGGAGGAGACAAGTGGCAGCGGCTAGGGAGGGCGATTTTCCCTTCCCAGCAGTGCTGCTTCATCCTCAACGTGAGCATAAATGTACTCAAGAAGTCAGCTACCAAGGAGCCGCCTCCAGGAGACGGCCCACCACCCACAGAGCTTTAAGGGCCCAGCCCAGCTGCCCCAGGCTGAGGCCTCCCCAGTATGTACCCCCGGGTCAGATCTGCGAATCCACTGGCCCCAGTGCTCCCACGGGTCACCCCAAGAGCCCTTCTCTCCCACTGTAGATAAACGAGGGGACCCTGCTGATTGCTCTCTGCAGGGGCTGGAGTGCCTGCCCCCCAGACAAGTCTAGCCTTGCCATCTTCCCACTCGGCAGCTCCCCGTACCCCGAGTTCAGGTCAGGATCCTGAGGAGGCCCGCCTCCCCTCGCAGCCGGCCGCTCCAGGTCCTGCGGATGGAGGCAAGTGTCCCAGCCTGTCCTTGCACGTGTGTCCTCCCCAAGTCCCGGGCTGGTTTTGTCCCACGGGGTCTCCAGGGTACACCTGGGGGGGAGGTGGATGCGGGAGAGTGGGCTTGGCCTTTTGCAAAGGTGACCCGGCAACAGGAGTGGCCAGAACCAGGGGTGGGGAGCAGATGGCGCTCCGCTGAGATGCCACCCCCCACCCCCCACCCCGGGGAGCTGTCTGGAGATCCTCCACCATTTACAAAGTGTCCATAGGTCGCGGCGCTGAGCCTCCAGACACCTGTGGGCCGCTGTGTCCGCGCGTGCTCACTGGGGTCGCTGCGCCCCTTCTCCAGCGCCCACGGCCGGCAGGCAGGTGATGCACGCGGGCGCCCTCGGCGCGCCCAGCCTTCCTCTCGGCTCCCAGCGCCCAGGACCGCACCCCGCCCGCCTGCCCGCCCGGCGCCGCCCCTGCAGCCCGCGCTGCGGCGCTCAGCCCCCGCCTGCTCCATCCTCCCCCGGCTGCGTCGTCCGCCAGTCAGCGGCGCGCAGTCCTCTCCCGGCGAGGCACGCAGCAGCAGCTCGGTGGCGCACCATGGCCGGAGGCCTCCCGCGGCGCGGCCTCTGGCTGCTCCTGGGTGAGTATTGGCGCGGGGACCTGGGAGAGGAGGGTCCCCAGGCGGGCCCGCAGTCCGAGCGCCCGGGCAGGGCCCTGCGGCGCCGTGGGGACAGGAACCGGTCGGGGCGCGCGGGGCGGTGCCTCCCCGGGAGCAAGGGCGGCTTTGGGGCGCCAGGGGAGCAGCGCGTCTGCAGGGCGCCCCGAAAGCTTGTTTGCAGGAGGAAAACGGGACCCGGGTTGCCCTCCTTGGCTCTGTCTCCGTGGCTCCGTTCGGAGCGGGGCTTCCCCGGGCCGCTCGTATGGGCACCATCTGGAAGCTGATATCTGGCAGCCTAGGTGTCTGGGAACCGGAATCACTGCAGTGTACCTGCCAATTCGTTAAAAACGAAAATCCAATGCGTTGTCACATGTGGTGGCAGCAGTGAGTTATTGGCTCCAAAAGCTGCCCAGGATGCCCTTGGTTGGAGCGAGGACGGTCGTCCTCGTCTCTGAGACATTTCCACAGCTCTTTGTTTGTTTGTTTTTATCTTGCCATTTCTGCGTGACAGGAATTCAAAAAGGGACACACTCTTATGCTGTAGCAGAACGTGCTGGGCTTTCAGTTTTGAGAGAGATGGCAAATTGGAACCCAGTGGTGACGGAGAGCGTGCCAGACATAGCAGGATTTAGCAAGAAATTGCCACTTCTCTCTCCTGTCCGTAATGTTTTCTGAATATGCTGAGTCAAGAAACCTCTCCAAACGGCTTTGGTCATTGGAGTCCTTTCGTTGACTTGTTTATCTTTTGATGAAAACCAAGCAGGTTGCTGAAGTGTGGGGACCCAGTGCCCCTGGAAGCCCCCTGCAGTTCTGACTGGGATCTGTGGCCCTTGCCCAGAACAGGTGACGGTGGCCCTGGAGCTGGTCCTGGTGAAGGACGTGACCACTCAAATGCTTTTCGTAGCTTCCAAAGCAGCTTGTCTCTGTGGAGTCCATCTTGGGCACCGAAAGGAGATGGGGGCTTAGGGCTCATGGCAGCCCCGTATGTTACGGACTAGAACTGCTCCCTAGAGTGTTCTTAGCTATAATTGTTATGGAGCAGATTGCCAGGCCTGTGTTCAGCGGAGCTGCTGGGGGGGTTCGAACTGCTAATTTTGACGTTAGTGGTCGAGCACAAACCATTTGCGCCACCGGGGCTGCCTCCGGACTGCACCAAAACCAAACCACCTGTTGCCCTCGAGTCAGTCCCAACTCATAGTGATCCTATAGGACGAGTAGAACTGCCGCACAGGGTTTCCAAGGAGCGGCTGGTGGATTCGAACCGCCAACCTTTTGGTTAGCAGCCGAGCTCTTAACCACTGCGCCACCAGGGCCCCTAGGACTGTATAGGAGGTGTGAGAGTCCTCATTTCCCTATTTGTTAAACTCAGCAGAAGTGTCACAACTGCATAAAGACCATGCAAGCTGGAATCATTAGCATCTGATTAAATGTAACATAATCTGGCTGAAATTACGTAAAAAGCAAAGTCTGATAATAGTATTATTCTCCTCTGTTGGGTTAGAATCTACTTGGCTTGGCATGAAACGTTCGGCTGTAGTGTCGTAAGAAACAAGCGCTTCTCTGTTAGCATGGCGGACAGCTAGCTTGAGTACTTTTTTTTTTAGCATAAACAAATAAATAAATGTTACTAAATTCCACAAGCTGCACATCTGATGTTTGTATAAATCAAACACAATGTCATGATCACATATAAAGACTTTCCTCGTTTACGAGATTCACGTTCTGGCGGAAGTCCAGCTTCTCTGGAATCTTATTATTCTGAGTGGTCTGGTTAATGTAAGATCTTGGAAGAACAAACACAACTTTATGGGGTTATCAGTAAATGAATGTCACGGGGGCCCAGCAGTAATTAGGAGAGTTAGTAAGCACACACTGTTCATTTCCTCCCCAAGCCATGGCATTCGCCTGGTCTCCTTGGTGATGGAGATTCAGCCACCCAGAATGGCTAGGCGGGGTTTCTTCTTTGAAAGGTCTAAGAATTGTAACAATTTCATCATCAAGCTATTTCTGTTACTCAATCTTCTCCCTTTCTGCACCTCCTCTAGGTAGGATTTCCTGTAGTTTTGAGCTTCACGTGTCCTTTTCTGTCTACAAAAATCTCCGTTGTAGTTGTTAGGTGCCATCAAGTCATTTCTCACTCATGGCAACCCCACGTGTGCAGAGTAGAACTGCTCCAAAGGCTGTGACCTTTTGGAAGCAGATTACCGGGCCTGCCTTCCCAGGTGCCTCTGGGTGGGTTCGAACCGCCAATGTTTCGGCTAGTCGTGAAACCATTTGCACCGTGCCTGAGTTTTGAGGTTTCGCACACGGCTGGCCTCTGAAAGGGTTCTCGTCATCAGGGGAGAGCAGGCTTTACACCATAGCAGGGTTGTGACAGATGCCTGGGTAGTTGTCTGCTGTTTCTGAGAGTCCATCATCACGCGGGGCATTCGGGCTGCGGCCTCCACGGAAAGGCTCCCTGGGGTCTGCGCTGGGCACGGCCACGTGCCTGCCTTGGCTCTGGGGCTTTCAGTCTGGAGGCCGTTCTCCTAATCCTGGAACCCACATTTGGAGGATTCTCATTTGCTAATCAACTCAGTGTGTGTGTGTGTACCCTCTCGGTGTATTTAGCTGCAGGGAGAAGTTTCCAGATTTTTGTCTTCCTTCCACAGGGCATGCTAGTCAGGGCGCAGATGGTCAGTCCCAGCCAGGGATGGGGAGAAACTGTATCCAGACTGGACGTGTGTTAAACAACTCGTCTTGGTTGTTGTTAGCTACTGTGGGGTCGGCCCTGACTCATGGGGACCCCGTGCACAATGAAACAAAACGCCACCCTGTTCTGAGCCAACCCCATGATCGGTTGTGGATCGGATTGTTGTGATCCATTGGGTTTTCATTGGCTGATTTTTGGAAGCAGATCGCCAGGCCTTTCCTCCTAGTCTATCTTGTCTGGAAGCTCTGCTGAAACCTGTTCAGCATCATAGCAACTCTCAAGCCTCACATGAGGTGCATTGGCTGGGAATCAAACCCGGGCCTTCTGCACGGAAGGCGAGAATTCTACCGCTGTGCCACCACAGTGCCTTCAGCAACTTAACAAGAAGGACCTGTTTCAGGGGGAATCCTTCCTTAAGGCACATAGTTATTTGTGTGAAGGTGGTGCCATGCTGTGAAGTCCAGTTAAAATGCTCAGCCCCCTAAGGCGTCGCCCTCCTCCAGGCACAGTACCTGTCTCCCCAAGGGTCCCACCCCCTGCAGTGTGGACAGCTCTCCCTCAGTGGTCCTTGACCTGGGCCTGGCCACCGGGAGGGATTGTCTCGGGAGGGGACAGGAGCCAGGTTGAGCGATTTCATGCTGGAACCCTGGGGAAAAACTGTCTCGTCCCTCTCGGCCAGGCCACATTCTGTGAGCCTCGGCCACCTGCTATGACTGGGAGACAGACAGACAGGCAGACAGCCGAGCTCTGCCGGCACCTCTTGAGCCCGTGGGGGAGGGTGCTCAGCGACGGAGTTGGCTGTCTGTGCCTCACAGGGAGGTGCCTGATGGGTGCAGGGGCTCAGTGGACCCCACCGGGTGTGGCTGGGGCTGTGGGGACTGCGGGGAAGCGGACGGCCTCCTGAAGGAGAGGCTACCACCGAGAAGAGCAGGTGGAGCCGGGGGAGCTGGGGGCCAGGGCGGCAGGGCTGCTAGCACCTGGCAGTGCCTGTGTGCCGGCCGCCTCTCTGCCTCAGTGGCCTCACAGGTGAAGCGCAGAGAGGACGCTGACCGGCTCTGCCCTGTCCCCGCCACACCAGAGGTGCCCTTGGGGCCCTGCCCACGCCCGGTCTCTGCCAGGCCCCCACCGCACCCCACACTCGGAGCCCGTGGAGGGTGTCCTCGCTCCCGGCTGGAATGACCTTGGGGCTGGAGACATCTCTACAAGACTGGTTTCTCCTCACTGAGGTGGGTTATGTCCGCCCAGCGTGGGCAGAGGACGCCCCACCATGCACAGGACCTTATTCATCTTAACATAGCGACATTATTGTTGCTCACGGGACAGGCATTCCTCTCCTCATATGGTTTAGTTCCGTGTTCCCTTTGACATCATTTTAATCATGCTTAAAACAAGAATTCCAGGCGACTTTGCTGCAGCGGGCCCACCAAGATGAGCGCTGTGGCAGCCACAGCCACATCCTCCTCCTTCCTCGTCCGGCCTTGCGGGGTCTCCTGCATTTCCCCCGGGATCACTCGCAGCGTGGCGTGGGGCCCCATGACCACGTCCCCCACCTCGCCATCACCCTTTGCCCCATTCCCTGCCCTCCAGCCCCACAGGCCTGGTGGGGTTGGCCCGCTGCACCCCTCACCAGAATGACCACCTCGCCTCCAGGAGCTTTCCCTGGCCACCCCCACCGGCCACCATGGGGACAATGAGCCTCCTCTGTGTCCTGGCACACCCAGTCAGAGCCTGGTCACACCTCGTTAGCATTGCCTGCCTTTGTGCGCTGTGGGCGTGGCTGGCTGCCCCTGCTTCCGGCCCCTCCGCAGACCCTGCTCAGCCTTCCCTGTAGGTCCCTCCTGCCAGCAGATGAGTCAGCTGAGGGGATGCTGGAAACCCAGTGGGCAGGGAAGCCGAGTGAGCCAGCGGTGGGCCGGCCTGCTCGTGGGGGCTGGGCTGCTGGGGGTTAGGACTTCAACATAGCTTGTGGAGGACATAATCCAACCCATAACAGGGTGCCATGGTCTAACGTGTGGCATTCAGAGCGTCCCCTGGGTGCGGCACAGAGCAGGCGTGGAGTGGGGAGGCCAGGTGAGGGCTGATGGGGGAGGGGCAGAGGAGAGGGCCCCAGAGACTCTCTGAGGCAAGAATGACAGGCTCACCATTGGAGTGGATGTGAAACCAAAACCAGACCCCCACCCCAGCTCCCCTGCAGGGTCCAGGGTCAGGCCCCTGGGTGTCCAGGGGATCTCTCAGGTCGTCTTAACCCTGGAGACCCCATGGGGACAGGTGATTTGACACTCAATTCCCCAGAAGCCAGTGGGCTGGGCCTGGGGGAGACCTATCCACAGATAAAGAAACAGCCGAGAGGTGAGGAGACCTGCCCAAGCCCTGGGAGGTCAGGGAGTGTGGGGGGCTCAGGGCGAGTGCAGGGCAGGCTGCTCCTCCCAGGCGCAGCCAGCCCTCCATGGCGTCACCAGGGAGGTGCTATTTTTAGCCCCAGCCTCTCTCAGGAGCTGGAGACAAGCAGGCGCCCTGGCAACCGTCACCCTGCCACCCACCCCATGCCTTTGAGGAGTGTCACGGGCTCTGCAGCTCTGTCTCTCTGCAAACAGAAAACAAGCCCAGCAGGTCCCGCCTCCCTGCCAGACATGCAGGCCCAGACATAATGACTGCTCTGTCCGTGAGCCAGTGTGAGGCTCGGCAGGTCACCAGAGCCCAGGCCACAGATGCTGCTGCCTGTGGGGAGCCCTGTGGACACCCCGTTTCTCAGGTACTTGCTCGAGGGTCCCTACTGCCTGGTTCCAGGGCACCCCTCCCCTGTGAAGAGAGGGAGCAGTTTCTCTGAGCCCCCAGCACTGGATGCAGGTGGCATCCCAGCACGGGTGCCCGGGCAGGAGGGCAAGTGGCGTCCCAGCACGGGTGCCCGGGCAGGAGGGCAGGTGGCGTCCCAGCACCGGAGCCCGGGCAGAAATTCACCCACAGCCTTCACCCAGCTCCGGGCCCCCCTGAGCTATGCAGGAGCCGATGCTGTCCACAGAGGCGGGACCCACGTGGCCTCAATCGCCCCGTTTAAACACTTTTGGCAACTTCGTTCAGTTTTAAAACCGTCATGTCGCCTCTACCTCCAGTAAAGAGACTGCATCAGTCTTGTTTTAGAAAAATGCGGGTTTTCTTTTCCCATACCTGAAACATGGAACGGTTTCCAGGTTCACCTGAACTTCCCCGGGTCTCCGCCCATCAGGCAGCCCCCCAGACTTCTTCAGGCCTCCTGTTGCCAGCCGCCCCTCTGCCTGTAGGCTTGTGTGGGTATGTGGGCTGTTTTGTTTTGAATTAAACACAGATTTTCTTTTATTGCCATGAAACGTGCCTGTTCGCTGTGGCCGCCGGGTCAGCGCTGCAGCCTGGGTTCTGTCATCTGGCGCGTCCATTAGCTCTCCCACGCGGTCTCACGCTCGAGTGGAATCCACAGGCCTCGGGGTCCCCACATAAATCCTTGAGAATGAGGCGCAGGACACGCCCAGGCAGGGCCTCGGCCGCCACTCGGGGCTCCTTCCTGTGGGTGTCACTTGGCTCCTTCCTCTTACTCCAGGATGTCAGAGGAGGCCCCGGTGTCTCACTGAAACCTAGGTTCCCTCCAACGAAAGTGCCCCCATTCCAAGGTCCCTCGCCCTGCCAGGAGGGTGTGAGCACTGCCTGGGCAGTAGAGGGTTTGATTGTCCCCACCCGTCCCCTCTCAAAAAGCTTCCATCGCCTCGGGGGCCTGCTCACCCCGCTGTATGAAGCGCTGGCCTCCCCCCCGTTCACAGCCTGGCGGGCCCACACAGCCCCCTCTCCTGGGACCTCACGGGGACATGGGGACCTGCCAGGTTGACCCCAGCTCCAGCTTCCTGCTCAGGGCCTCTGTGCCCTGCAGGCTCCCTACTGTCAGTCTGCGCTTCTGTTGGCTTGACTCAGCCACTTGGCCTCTGTTACCTGTAAGAAAGACCTGTTCTCCAGTAAGACCTATTCTCCACCTCTTCTCCCCAAGTCAGCATGACTCACCCTTGGTGAAGCAGTCACCACCTCTGCCCTGTCTGGGGCTTCATTGTCTCCTGATCCACACTCCGTTCTAGTGCGCAGCTGTGGACCAGGATCAGTGCCCTGGTCTGTGGCCTGTGGAATCCACCCATCCATCCATTCATCCACCCACCTACCCACTCACCCACCCACCCATCCACACACCCACCCATCCATCCACCCAGCCACTCATCCATCCACCTACCCACCTATCCATCCATCCATCCACCCACTAACCCACCCACCCATCCATCCACCCACCCACCCATCCATCCACCCACCCACCCATCCACCCACCCACCCATCCATCCACCCAGCCACTCATCCATCCACCTACCCACCTATCCATCCATCCATCCACCCACCAACCCACCCATCTATCCATCCATCCATCCACCCATCCATCCATCCATCCATCCATTCCCCCACCATCCATCCATACATCCATCTTCCAGCCATCCATCCACCCTTCCTTCCATACATCTATTCATCCATCATCCATCCATCCACACATCCATCCATCCACATACTCATCCATCATCTATCCATCCATCCATCCACCCACCCAGCCATCCAGGTTCCTTCCAGGGACTTGGAAGGGCAGTGCTGGCAGTGGTGAGGCTGGGGGCACCCTGAGGGCAAAGGATGCCCAGCATAGCGGGGGTGGGGGTGAGGGGAGTGAGGGGGGAAGCAGGTGGGCAAACAGTCAGACCTTGAACAGGGAACAGTAAGAGCACCCCCGCCCCTGCCACCGCATAGAAAGACTGAGAAAGTGACATTCAGCTGAGGAGAAAGAGGTGTCCTGGGGGTGGGGGAGGGGGAGCAAAGGAAGAGCTTTCCCACCCCCAGAGCTAATCATGGGCTCTGGGGGAACAAAGGGAACTGTGATGTTGTGCAATGCGCTGCTTGATAAATCACGTTGAATCTCGTGGGGGTGTGGAACATATTTTACCTAACAGTAGCTCGTTTACACCTTGTAAATATTCAGTCATACACGTGGGCCTCCACTAGCCCGGAGCCCTGAGCTCTGCCAGGCTGGGTGGACCTGCTCTGGCTAGCCTTCTGGAAGTGGGGGGGGGGGGGTCGGGAAGCCCCGGGAACCCCTCATGCTGCCCCTCGCTGGGGGCGAGACGACACCTCTCCTCATTTAGAGGAGAACCTGGCGGCATGGTGGTCTTGGAGGGTTGGAGCGGCTGGGGTTCGATCCCAGGGAGTGGTTTCTCTCGCTGCCTCTGTCCAGTCTGGGTGGGGTCGTCAGGAGGACCTACACCGGGGTTGTGAGGGTTAGACGGTGCATGTGTAAAAAGCCCTGCGATGACCTGTGTGTGCTCTGGGGACAAGTGGCACTTTCTCCTGGCAAGCCGAGGCGCCCCCTAGCATCTCCCTGACCTTTGCCCTGTACGGAGCATCTCGGGGTGCAGTGGGACCCTCGCTGCCCGCAGGGGGCGGGGAGGGGGTGCTGGAGCCGTAGATCCTCTCCAGGGATTGCTCAGGAGACCCACTGCGTCCTGCTGGCTGGAGAGGCGCTGCCCAGGGCCGGTGGGTGGACTTGGCCGCGGGCAGAGGGCCGTGAATGGGCGTGGCTGTTGGGAGGGGCCAGTGCGGTCATGGAGTGGGGCCGTGGGTGAACGGTTCTGCTGGGTGAAGTCCCGTGGGTGGGTGGGACCTCTGGGGGAGAGGCTTGGGGGGCGTGGCCATGGGTAGGTGGTGTGTGTGTGTGTGTGTGTGTGTGTGTGTGTGTGTCTGTGTGTGTCTGTGTGTGTCTGTGTGTCTGTGTGTGTGTCTGTGTGTGTGTGTCTGTGTGTCTGTGTGTGTGTGTGTGTCTGTGTCTGTGTCCAGGGAGGGGCCATGGGTGGGCATGACGGGATGAGCTGTCAATGGGCGAGGCCGCGGGGAGGGGGGCTGTGAAGTGGGCGTGGCCATTGGGAGGGGCTGTGGATGGGCATGGCTGCCGAGGGGAGGGGTCTGGGTGAGCACAGCCTCCGGGGCCAGGGGAGGGGCTGTGGGTGGGTTGCTGGCTTGACGGCCCCAGGCATCCTTGTCCCCACAGTGCACCTCCTCGTGGTGGCCACCGCCTGCCAGAACGCCAACTACGGCCCCGTCATCCAAGAGCTGTGCCTCAAGCGGTTCCAGGTGGACATGGAGGCCCTGGGGAAGACCCTCTGGTGCGACTGGGGCAAGACCATAGGGTGAGTCCTGAGTCCCTGATCCTGCGGCGCCCCCACCCTAAGTGGGTCAGGCATTGGGCGGGGCTCAGCCCCTGCTAGGTAGGCCTGGGGGTGACAGGTGGGTGGGAAGAGTGAGGGGCTGGAGACCTGAGGGTGACAGGTGGGTGAGAAGAATGTGGGGGAGGAGACCACCGAGGTGGAGGGTGGAGCTTTGTGGGGGGGTCCCAGGAACAGGGGCGCGGGTCCAGTCCGAGAAGCCTGAGGGTGTTGGGGGTAACCGGAGCACTATCTAGTGCTGGGGAGCCTTGGAGGCCAATGCTCTGTGGCGCGAGCCCCCGTCTTCAGGGAAGTCCCTGCTGGTTCCCTCCATCCCACCGCTCCCACCCCCCTCCCCGGCTTAGTGCTGAATGGGCACAATTGTCACCAGGAGGGGGGTTCAGGCTGCTCACCGAACACGGCTCCCCCCGAGACTCTTCCCTGTGCCCCTGCGTCCTCCTGCCGAGGCCCTGCCTCCCACCCACTGGCCGACTCTGGGGTCCCAGGGCTCTCCCCACCCGAAGCAGGCCCCTCTGACCTCAGGAGCAGATGCCTGGCCGGGCGAGCAGCAGTCAGAACTTGGCGTCTCCACAATCCATATTCTTGTCTTTGCTTCTGCTTTGGAGTGGGCTGGGGGCATCTTGGGGGCATCAGTGGGGGAGTGAGGGGAAGGAAACACCCAGAAGACGCAGGGACAGGGGCCTGGCACTCGGATCCCACCACAGCAGGGCCACGTGGGGTCAGAGGAGCCTGGGGGTTTACGCCAGTGGTAGTCATCCAAGCATCTGTGAGTGGTTGATAATCCCGCACTCGCCCTCGCGGCGCACACTCGGGGTGCATCCCACAGGCGCCTCCCTCTGGTGGTGGGCTGTGGCGGGACAGGGCTGAATGAGGAGCCTGGACTCAGGTGGCCCAGGGCCAGGAGGGAAGGCCCAGGAGGAGCAGGTTGTCTGTGACTGGGCCTCCCAGGAAGAAAGGTCTCCGAGGCCATAGACAGAGGGCACATGTGGCTTTGGTGTCTCGGGGTCCAGGGCAGACCCAGGCTGCTGGGGATTCAGGCTCAAGCATTCAGGGGTCTAGCAAGCACAGCGTGAACACCCAGCTCCTGTATGGCACTGTCGTGGAAGGGATTGCCTTCTGTCCTCAAGAGCGAGGGCTGCGATGTCCACCCTGAGACCGTGCAGGCTTCTCCGTGCCAGGCTGGGTGCCCCCTCTGGCCAGCCCCGGCCCGGTCCTTCCTACGGAGGCAGCAGTGCAGAGGCAGCCTCCTCCAGGAAGCCACCTGACTGCGTGCTCCCTGAAGGCAGACCCCTCTCCTTCATCTAGGGTCCATCGCACTTAGCAGAGAGTTTGTGCTCAGTGCATTGTGGAAGTGAATCTCTAGCTTGGGAGCCTAAAATAAAAAAGTATGAAAGCACGGGATGTAGGCAGGTGTGCAGTACTGGGATTTAAAATAAACTCCGCTTCTCTGCTCAAGTTCAGCTGTGGAGAGTTGTGGCATCCCAGGTCAAGTGGCTGAGGCAGGGGCTGCAGGGCCAGCCCTGCTAGGCCACTGTCACCATGGAGCACGGCTATGGGGCGTGGGGGTTCCTGGGCTGGAGGGTAGGTTTGAAGAGACCTTTCTGGCTCCATCCTTGGGGGTCCTTTCTGCATGCCGCCCCCACCCCACACACACCTGTGAAAGAGCAGCCCAGCCCAGTGCCATAGGGTGCTCTGGGGGCCCGGGCATATTCATCCGTAGGGGGGATGGCAGGTCGGCCCTGGACAGGCCTTGACCTGGCAGGTCGGACAGGCAGCGTCCCCCTGGGGGCTGATCAAAAGGCTCTCCTTCTCCCTCCTGCCCAGCCAGGAAGGTGAGGCCGACGTCATTCATCTTAACCCAATTGCACGAATGAGAAAATGAGGTTCCGGTGGCCCCTCGCCGGCTCGTCTCTGGTCCCCCACCCGGATGAAGGCGATTCAGTGCCCCTCTACCCCCAGCCCCAGGCGTGTCCATGGGGAGCGCGTCGGGGTGGATCTCCTCGCCCTGTCTCACTCCGCAGGACTCTGGGACCTTCCGAGACTTCGGGGTCTTGTTTCCTAAACTGAAATTAATCAGGAGTCAGAAACAGAGGGGGCACAGGGTGGCAGCAATCAGCTCAGACTGTTCTGTGGGCTAATTGGCCTTCTGCCTCAGCTGAGTAATTAGTATTTAAAGATTGCATCTTATTCTGATGCAGGGCAGACTCAGCAGGAGTCCCAGCTCTGGCCTTGCTCTGCCTAAGCCATCATTGATTTGTCTAGGTTGATTCCACCTAGGCGGCTCGGCGGGACCTGAGGGCGACGTGGGTATGCTGTTGGAAACGGAAGGCACCATAGACGGCTTTGGCCGTGCTGGAAGTGCACACAGAAATAATTAGCGCTGGGGCCAGATGAGCCTGCCACCCTTCCCCCTGGTAAGACAGCTGGAAATAGAAGCACAGCCGCGCGGTTGCTCGCCATCTTTTTACTGAAAAAGAAAACCAGGATAACTTAAGGAACAAAGAAGCGAAACATCATCTTACCAGCTTCACAGACAGCCAGCTCAGGCCTTGCCTGGGGGTCTGTGGTTGGCAGAGCGATGGCCCCCCAAAGATGGCCACGTCCTAATTCCTGACTCCGTGAATATGTTAGGTTACCTGGCAAAGAGGAGTTAAGGCTGCAGATGGGGCTTCTTATTGCTGTTGCGTGGTGTCAAGTGGACTCTGCCTCCTAGCGACCCCACAGGACAGAGGAGAACAGCTCCATACGGTGTCTTACCCCTAGGCTGTGACCTTTATGGGTGCAGATAGGCAGGTCTTTCTGCCGAGGAGCCACTGGTGGGTTCGAACCACTAACCTTTCATTTAGCAGCCGAGCGCTTAACTGTTGTGCCACCAGGGCTCCCTTGGATAGAATTTACAGGCTGCTAATCTGCTGTCCTGGAGATTAGGAGGTTGTCCCAGATAATCTGGGAGGCCTGATCCAATCACAGGGGTTCTTAAAAGGAGAGGAGGAAGAGGAGACGGAAGAGGGGGTCAAAGGGATTTGGTGTGAAGGCTTGGCCCCTGTGGTTGGCTTTAAGGAGCCCTGGTGGTGCAGTGGTTAAGCACTCAGTTGCTAACCCAAAGGTCGGTGGTTTGAACCCACCAGTGGCTCCGTGGGAGAAAGATAACAGCCTTGGAACCCTATGGGGCTGTTCTACTCTGTCCTATAAGGTCGCTGTAAGTCAGAATCGACTTGGTGGCAATGGGTTTGGCTTTTTGGTTTAGTTGGCTTTAAAGATGGAGGAAGGGGCCACCTGCCAAGGGATGCGGGCACCTCTAGAGGCTGGAAAAGGCAAGGAGGTAGGTTCTCACGCGGGCAGGAGGATGTCCCAGTGACATTGCAGGGCGTCCTATGGGAAGCCAGGCAGCCAGGCAGCAGCTGGCCTCAGGGACACTCCCAGCCCGTGCGGGGCCTCCAGCCCGGATTGGAGGACTGTGACCCCAGCCGGCGAGCTGACGAAGGACCTGGGCACCGGGAAAGACCCCTCAGGGAAGGTGCAACCGGTGAAGACAGAAGCTCGGAGAACAGGACTGGGCAGCTGCTGGGGCCTGGCCTCGAGGACCAGAATGGAACTACCGTCGCGGACCCCAAAGGCAAGAGCCCCGGGGGCCTGTGTGAGGCCAGAGCTGGCCCAGGGACCCGGCCCGGCTTGCAGGTGGCTCTGGCCATGGGAAACCTCCAGCTCATCTCTGAAATCAGAGAAGACTGTAGTCTACAGCAGCTGCTTGTCAGAGGGACTTACCCTCCCACAAGTGACAAGGACAAGTGTGCACCGCCCAGCCTTCTGTGAGACACACACAGAATAAATAGGACGGGGACGCTATGGGGCTCTTTCATGCAGCCGGCCTCCTGGGCTCCTAGACTGGCATTCTGCAGACAGAAGGGAGGGCCCCAGCAACCCTGCATCCCCTCGGCCCTTGAGGAAGGTGCTGGAGGATCGAAACAGTACTTGCTGCAGCACTGACGGAGATTTCCCGAGCGAAGTGAAGGACTGCCGAGAGCACCCACGCTGGGCTCCATCAAGAGGGTAGTCGGCATTCTCGAGCGAGTGAGCGGTGCCAGATGGGCCGGCTCGCAAGGTCCTAAGACTGCCAGTCTCCCCGTGGCCGTGCTGCCCACTGCTGCCTCTGCACGCGTCAGCAGTCCCTGACCTGACTGCCCGTGTCCTCAGCGCTTCCTTCCGGTTCATTCTGGGTTGGATGGATTTTGCCAAGTCCGCGGGTGGTGAGAACAGTTCGCGGGGGTCTCATTCTGAGTCCTATCCTGTGGAGAATGTGCAGGGTTGCCCTCGAGGGTCACAGTTCAACAGGTCCCTGTGGGCACTTGCCGTGCGGCGAAGCCATCCCATCATTTATTGTTGTTAGGTGCCGTCCAGTCAGCTCCAACACATGCTGACCTTATGTACAACAGGACGAAACACTGTTTGTTGGTGTGTTTGAGCCCGTTGTCGCCGCAGCTGTGCCAATCCAGCTCATTGAGGGTTTCCCTCGTTTTCAATGATCCTTCACTTTACCAAATGTGATATCCTTCTTCTAAGGACTGGTCCCTCCTGATGATGTGTCCAAAGAAAGCAAGATGAAGTCTCACCATCCTTGCTTCTAAGGAGCATTTTGGCTGTACTTCCTCCAAGACTGATGTGTTCCTTCTTCTGGACGGCCATGTTCTTCGCCAACACCACAAGTCAAATTCCCCTTGTTTACCAGCACTTTATCTCATAGACTGCAGCCCTGGTCGGCTAATGGAATTTAGTGTAATCTGACGTATTTAGCGGGGATATAATCTAATTTTGGAAGGCATAGAGAACTTGGAAAAAAAAAGTCATCAGACCTCTCGTTTCCAGAGAGCTTCTTGTGGGCGTTGGAGGCGACAAGAGAAAGAGCAGGACAAGGAAGGAGAAGATTTCCAGCACATGCCAGAACTCACTCAGCTAGAAAGTGGTCG